CGTCATTGAGTGGAGTTGCCCAGCCGCAAATGAGATGCAATCAATGCAGGAGAGATATGCTACCCGAAGCTTTAGGATGGTTGCGTGCGCTTCCTTGCGGGGCTTGCGCGTGCAATGTTCTGCAGCCAAAGTGGTTCGTTGTGTAGTTCTCAGTGTGTCGCGTGAGGCCAGTCGAAATCCAGCGGTCCATGGTCCATTTTGGAGGCATGGGGTCACAAACGCAGAGTTTTGACAGGGCTTTGTGGTGCTCGAACGTGTGTGGTTTAGTTGTTCGAACTACTCAGGAGTTCCTGGAGCAAAAGATTGATGGAGCCGCTGGTCACGCCAATTCTTCATGCGCTTCGATCCTGCTGCGAAACAGGGAATGCCATGCACTGCACACTTACCCAAGTGGTTTGTTTTACTTCCCGGCAGCATGGGAGTCAAACAAAGTAGGGCCTGTAAGCACGCTTATACAGCCATGATCATCTTGGGGGAGCAGCCCAAGAATCGCGGGGACGGGAGATGTGCTGGCATCAGGTCGGTGTGGCTGCTTTGTTGCTCCAAAGCAATAAAAGGGTCCGACTTTGGATGGGGAGAATGGGGAACGCCTTCAAAAATCGTTGAGGGACAGAACGTCCTGCGCACGACGTCCGCTCTGTAGTTTGAAGCCCTGCCTGTTTGGTGGTTGTCTGGAAGGGAAACCCAGGATGAGGTGAACCCAGGCGTGTCAGGGTGTCTCTTTCAGCGAAACATCATCAATAGGCGTTTTCCGCTAATCTGTTTTGCTTGTTGGCTCTAGCAAAAGTTTGAATGAGCTGCTATGCCGACACGTGCATGACTTGTGATTCTATAGCAGAACCATGATTGCTGGTTGTCCGTGAACGAAATCAACATGCATGTGGCTGTTTTTCTTTGGGATTCCCCATTGTGTTCTACCTACAGCTTGCTTGTGTGTCAATCATGGTTTCGCAAGACGTAGTCACGGGAATTTTGGAAAAGAGCGCCCACACAGCACATATTCCAAACACATAACAGACATGAAGAGGTCGCGCCCCATTTGGCTGGCTTCTGTTCTTCTATACTGATTTCCGTTTCTGTGAATCTTTGGTTATGGAATGCCAAAGCGGGTCGCAGTCAGTCGAGATCCCCATGTTGGTTTTCAACATCACTGTGGGGTGATGCGTGAAATTGCAATATAGAGAATCCTGCGGATTCTGCGGGTTGATTCTCTGTCGAGCATGGGCCGCCGCTTGCAATGGCTCCTGCTGCCCGTGGCTCTCGCTGAGGCCTCAAGGGCATGCCGTGAGCGACCAACCCCCGTAACCTTCCAAATGCCCGTGTAAAAAGGAGGTATTTGCTACGAAATCCCAGGTTGTTTCCAAGTTCCCCCCAAACGCAGCAATAATTAGGAGTAGGAGTTACTAATTGCACGGGTGTTCGGGTAAAAGGAGGCGTGCTGCGAAGCGTCGAAGCGTCGAAGCGCCGAAGCGTCGAAGCGTCGAAGCGTCGAAGCGCCGAAGCGTCGACGCTTCGATGCGTCGAGGCTGAGGCACCGAAGCGTCGAGGCGTCGAAGCGCCGAAGCGTCGAAGCGCCGAAGCGTCGAAGCGTCGAAAAGCCTGTGACCGAACACAGAGCCTGGCCTGCTCTTTGGCTGCGCGCTCAGACAAATTGTGAAGGGCTGGCTTTTCATAATTTAAAGGAGACCAAGTTGTCTCTGTTGCACTTTCGACGCTTGGCGGGCTGGGGCTCATCGCCAGGCGCCCTTTCCTCCTTTGCTGCCTTGCGCACCAAACCCTGGCCATCCAACTCCCCGCACACCTCTTTGATCGTCTCCGTTTTGGCAAGATCCTGTCACGAGCCAGGCGCAAGTTACCGGAAACAGAGGCCTTCCTAGCTAAGCAACAATCGTGCGTCCTTGGTCTTCTTGCTGTCCCGGTACTTCAGCCTGATGGCTTGCGCACTAAAGGTGCCGGACATGTCCGTAAGGACCCTGTACTTCATGCAGTCGCGGCCTTGCAAGCCTAAGCCCCGGCAAACCCGTGACCTGCACAAACAAAACTAAGGTTTGGTGTTTGATTGCAGGAGAGGCGCCTTCGCCAGCAACGTAGAGGTTGCCTTGGGGCTCAGCTGCCTTGGAGCCAGTTGCAGCGTCGGCTAGGACCTTGGCGCCGCTACGCTGCATCCATTGCAGGTAGCAAAAGTGGAGGCGGATTTGCCTTCTCCAGTTGCGCAGGGCAAAGCAGAACTCATAGATGGAGGGGCTGGTTCTGGTCGGCCTGAGCTGGCCCCCAACGTAGCTATGAAGAAATTGCGCTTTCCTCATTGCGATTTGGCTGGCCCGCAAAAGGTCTGAGTGTCGAAAGTCCAGCTTGGCCTCCGTGTATTGGTCAAGTTCGTTGTGGTCTGCTTTGAGCTCCTCACAAGCTTTCTTGCAGCATTCCTACAGGTGCCGTCGAGGACGTGCTTGTGATTATCCCGTGGTAGAAGTGGTCAAACATCCATGCGTGAAGCTGTTCAACCAACGCGAGGGCGCTCTTGACAGGAGCAGAGTCGTCGTGCTGTAGCTCCTTGGGAGCAACTGAGAACCAAATTCGCTTTTGGAAGCCGTGGGCCGCAGGCTTGACGATGGCGTCAATGACTTCCTGCAAGCAAAAAAGCGGGTTATTACATGTGTCTTTAGGGCTGGGGGTTTAGCTATGACTACATTCTGTCCTGTTGGCCTGATATCTTGCACAGCGCGACATAGGGATGGTCTGCGCACTCCTGGGTGCGTGTCGGTGCCAGCTGTGATCGCGTCGTCCGTTTCGCTCCGGGTGAGCCGTGCTCGGGGAGGTAATGCACACCAGGCCGCTTTGAAGAGACAGGGGTATCATAGACAGTGGCAATGGCCGTGCTGTATACCTTCAAGGCTTTGCGGATGCCAGCCAATGTAGCATCCGAAATGACGATTTTCCTTTGGGCAATGTAGCCAGGCTTTCCCGCTGCATCCTGCGGCTCCGCCTTCTCGAGGAAGTGGTCCGTCATTTCAATGTTGTGAGACTTGCGGGCAGACACCGCTGCGCCCAACATCACAGAGGGGTTGGGAGACACACCTCGGTGGGTGCTGTCGGGCGGGTGCAGCAGCCTTGTGGCATGGTGCTCACAGAAGCCGATGTTGGCGTCGCAAGCCAGGTTCAATGATTCGGGGCACAGGCCGTCATGGAGAGCGATGGCCTGCGTTGCTCGCACCCAAGGAAGTGGGCCGCACATCCTGAGATCGAAGTCGCGTGGCAAGCTCTCTGTGGGAGAGTGTCTGGGCATCAGACCATGCTTCTTGAAGCCACCCATGGATAGTCGCAACAGTTTCCTGACTGGTGCTCATGCCATCGAAAAGGCTTGGCGGAAACATGCGATGGTTGATTTCTTCCTCCGTTGTCAAGCCAGACAAGGAGCGAAGAGCTTCTGCCACGAAGTCAGGCTTTTTCGCCCTCTCCTGCTCTTTGCTGGAAACAGCATCGGAGAACTCAAAACGGAAAAAAAGATCCACCAGCTTTGGCCCTGGTGACTCGCTTGGCCCGCTGTTCTGTGTTGGGGCTATAGCATTTGGACTCTCAGATGTCTTCTCCTGCCACGGGAGCTGCATTGAGGGACTTGTGGCACAAAATCCACAAATACAAACAACAGACATGGGTGGGAAACAACAGGCATGGGCAACGGCGACAAGGTCCTAGCCTTAGTTCTTGAGAAATGGTTACGTGAGCAACCGCAAACGCGTATGCGACAGCAACCGGCCGAGAAACCTCTGCGCGTTGCGTTGGCCGCGGTGGGGAAGACTCTGCGCGCATAGCTTCTCCTAAGGCATCCGCATAGTCTTGCGCTTCGTCGGCTGCTTGCTCGGGCACCAAGTAAGGGTCCTCAGCTGTCACCAGGTCGTCCTGGACACGTGCGCGCGCTCACATGCGCACGCGCTACTTGACAGGGCAGCCCAGGCATGCAACGTTCTTTGAAAGATTTTTTGGCATGGTCCTGATAAGCTGCTGGGGCATCCATCTTGGGCTGTGCACCGAGACACCGAGTCCGTCGGGGGGCCGTGCGACGCACTGTCACTCCGCGTTCACTCCAGACAAACATTGCACCAAGAGAAATTTGAGCATAAATGCAATGCAACGGACAACATGGTTCTGCTGACGTGGCTTGCGTTTATTGGGCATCAAGCGATCTTGCCGGCATTTTTTCACCAATGGCCACTGTGATGAGATGGATCCTGTTAAAGAGCTGGACGTCCCCGTGAAGACTGCGTCAGGTGGCAGTTTCTTTTTGTTGTAGTTGTGTCCCATTACAAGTTACGTATTGGAAGTAGGGGTGCCCGCCCCTTTTTGTTTGTTCGAAGAAGACATCGTCGTTGCGGCTTCTTTACTTCCTTGACTTCTTATTCGACATTTTGGTTGGTGTTCAAGCGACATGTTCATGACGGTATTTTGTCATGTTGATGACGCCGAAGCTGCCGTTGGGTTCAGCGCAGTTGCCCCACAGATTAGGGGAATTTGCCCGGATGCTAAACAAGCTGCTAAAGGTCCTGCCCCGCACACGCAGACTGAGCGGTACAAAAACAAACAAAACAGGGCTTTGGGCCTAATTCTCCTAAAAGGCTGTTCGTCCGCTTCCATTGTTGGAAAGAGGATATGTTCCATGGTCCTTGCTTGTTTTTTCAAAGGAAGAGGGAATCTGGCTGGGCACTGACCCATGTTCATCGCTTCATATGCATTGGGGATTGGACCTTTTCATGCTTGTAGGCAATCTGAAGCTCCAAAAGTGTCAAACCCCAGAGAACTATTCTGCGGTATTTGGTGATGCCATCCCAATGATGTGTCACTCTGCGTTTATGAAGCTTCTATTTCACTCCCCTGACTAAGATGGAGGCCAACAAGCTGCCATGAGGAGGAATCTTCTTGGTTTCTTCGTCCCGTCACGGGCGGGCCTGCCAGGAGGGAACTCAATGCTTTGATGGCGGTATCAAGGTGGATCCTGAGGCGGAGAGCAAACGTGTGTGAAGATCTGGTCTCCTCCAAAAGTATGTTACATTTAATTAGAAAACTCGGCTCAATATGGACCAGAATCTGTGTACCCCGGTGGGCCAAGATATGAAGGGAAATCAATGTCAGGTGCTCCCTCATGAAGAGTCAGTTGATGACTGGTCTTTGTGAAAGTTGGGTTCTGAAATGAGGATCAGAATCGTATGGCGTCAAGCTGAAAAAACGAACTGCCCTGTGCTCAACACGTCCCGACTTGGTGTCTCAAAATAGGGTTTCCTTTTAACCCCACCGAAAAGGGGTTCCCAAAAAAAGAGATAAACCCACATGTGTGTCAAAATATTAGACTGCCCGAATATGGCAGTCTTGCAGTTGATTTCCCTTTCGACCAACTTACGAAAGGGTACCCTCAACGCTACACGGCCCCTTTGGGAGAAGACGGGAACAAGTTCGTTCCACACAACTGTGGGAGCAAAGCTGGCGAAGCGCTTCGCCCCGCCTCGCGAGCCTGGTAAAAAATCAAAAGTTGGTTCTTGTGACGGGCCCAGAGTCCAATGTCCTCAGCGCAACTTGCCTTTTTTTCAATCACTGACTAGTGCATCCGGCCATAAACAAAACCTGACAATTGGAGGATAGTACGGGTGAGTCGCAGCCACAAACGGGTGCGGATATCCGTCCTTGCATGTCTTTACATACGGTTTGGGATAGACCCTTTCCACACTCCTTTTATTGAGTTTGTGCGTTGCTTGACCCAAGATGGAGCTCGTAGAAGTTTGTGGTAGCATCCCTGGGACCCTTCAGGACTCTGCGTGGCGTTTCCTGGCAACCAATGGCACAAGTTGACAGGGGAAGCAATGGAAGCCCATGATGAAGATTGGTTGCTTCAGAAAGGTGTTTCCCTTGTTTCCAGTGGGTGAATCATTCTACCCAGCTACCAAAGTGCTACTCTAAGTGTTCCAACTCTGCATATGTCCCAACATGTTATTATAGTATGATATATAAGTCAAGAGGTACTTGGGTGCGTTGAACACAGTTTCACATTCGGGCCATTAGGCTCGAGACCAGATGGAAGCCTCTAGGCAGCGCTGAAAAGGTGCGGTTTCACTTCATTCGATTCATGCCATGTCACGACCCTTGCACTGGCATTTCTACTTGGTAGCGGAGCCCATGGGCATGATCCGTGGGCTTTTGACCTTTGGACTACTTGCTTTTCTCCTAGCAGGTTTTGTGGGAGCTCTATGGCAACCACACGCAGCCCTGAACTCGGCTGGGCAGATGGACAGGACTGCCAGCCACCTTGTCATTGACCCTGGTATCACCACCTTCACGAACTTTGAGTTTCACTACGGCACCCTTGTGAGCCTGCGGAAGCCCCTCTATGTCAGGATTGCACCTCTCCAGAACTTCAGCATGCGGTCCGAGTACGGCCACGTTCCGGAGAACGAGGGCTTTCTAGGCTACTCGGACGTAACGATCACGGACTCCGAGCACGTGCGCTTCAGTGCGGAAGGCACGATCATGAACGCTGAGAATGGCGTAATGCTGTCGGAGCCCTTCCCGGTGCAATCTCCGGAGATGAACTTCACTTGGCTGAGTTTCAGCCGCAGGCACAGCGTGATCACGGATATGCGGGGTTTGCATGCGCCGGTCAACGGCCTGATGTTGGTCTGCTTCATCGCGGTCGCCACCCTCGGCACGATCATGTGCTGCTGCATGCATCAGCAGCGACCGCACGGGCACCGCCCGGACTGGCATCAGCGTGCAGCTGTAGGAGATGCAGGCCCACCCTATGTTGGCACCGCAACGCTCAAGGTGCCACCGGCTTGGAGCATTGAGAGGAACGTCAACTACTCTCTGAGGTCTTGGCTGTCAGACCTCGTGCTCTGGGCAAGCGCCACGGACCTTGCGGTTCAGAGGCAAGGACCGGTGGCAGCGCTGCAGATCACCGGGAGTGCCAAGGAGATCATTCGAGATTCCGCCCGCGCACCTGCGCGACGGCGTGCACGACAACGTCGGGAACCACACGCCGGGGCTCATGATCCTGGTGCAGACTCTGGTGCAGCGGTATGGGCCACTCGAAGTGGAGCAATCCACGAAGGCTTTGTCGGAGTACCTCAACCTCTTCCGTTTGCACGGCGAGAGCATCGACTCGTTCTTGGTCCGATACGAGGTACTTCGGCACCGAGCTGCTCAGCAGGGCAATCTGGGAATGAATGCCACTGGAGCAGCGTGGCTACTGCTGAGAGCATGCCGCATCGGGCACGAGCAGCTGGAACGGCTCCTGGCGGCCAACAATGGTCAGTTGCCACAAGATGAAGGTCAGCTCACGCAGCTTCTGGAGCGACTTCGAAATCTTGGGCAGGAGGACTTGATCACGGACCACGGCAGGGAGCCACTGGGAACCCCGGAGCTTACTACTTCCCAACCTTTGGTGGGGCTGGAGGTGAAGAACCCGGACCCTTTCATGGAACAGCTCCCAACTTTGATGTGGATCCGTGGATGCAGTACCTCAACCAACGGCAGCAACCACAACAACAGCCTCATCAGCCTCAAGCACAACCAGCATTTGGAGGTGGATGTCACGGATGTGGAGGAGCGATGCCAGGGCAGGACCCTGATTTCTGCGGAGTGTGCGGATGCTACTTCGGAGAGGACGAGGAATTCAGCTCCGGCACGGACACTGAGGCCGATGTGGATGAGAATTTCATGAATCAGTGCTACCAGTCGGTCGACATCGAGGGCACGTCTCGATCAGACGCGATGGCAGTTGCCAACGAGATCTACTACGACTACAAGATGGCCAAGCAACGCTGGAGACGGTTCTCGGGCAAGCCGCCTCGCAAATATCGCAAGTACAATGTGCGACGTGGTCAAGGTCCTCACCGACTGCAGAGAAGCTCATACCGCAACTCGTATGCTTCGTTTCTTCCACCATCCGCATTTGCAGGAGGAAAAGGAGGTGGAAAAGGGAAAGGGAAAGGTGGAGCCCGCAAGAACCCTCGAGGCAAGGACGGTCAGGTCCTCACCTGTGCCAAGTGCGGCAGCGACTCGCACTTGCGGCGTGAGTGTCCTCAAGGCGGAGGCAAAGGAGGCTGGCGTCCTCCTGGTGATCATCAGGCCTCATCGGCACCACCAGCACAGGCGATGCACTACGAGGGCAGGCCCGGTGTTTCCTTTGTCACGCTCCCTTCTTCCTCAACGCCGAGCGGGGCAGATTCGAAGGCATCCATCAGCCATGGATACTGGACCGCGGGATCGGTGTCGGGAGCTGTGACTGCGACCAGCAACTTTGCCGATTTGGCTTCGTTCAAGTCGTTGATGCCCGAGCTGGAGAATCTGCGCAGTGTGTCACAGGCCAACAGCGAGGTGTCTTCGGCAGCGGGAAGTCGTCGGCGAGCTCAAGATCCGAATGAGGAGTCGCTTGAGCCACTGAGGTCAAGCCCGCAAAGAAAGACATCAGACACGGGCACGCCGCCGGCACCGACGTGGGCACCTGCTGTGAACATTCCCCAGATCGGGATCACGTCAATGATTCCGGGAGCACAGCAACCGAGATTTCCTCCTCCTCAAGGACCACCAACGCTGCTACGGACTGACGAGAATATGCAGTTGGCTACGAGATCTTCGGCGCGACCGAATGATGACGACGAGCAGGCTGAAGACCAACGCCGGCAAGCAACTGTGTCAGGACTCACCACGATCCTGCTCGGCATCCAGTCGAATGCGGCCAATAACCAACGTACTGGTTCCGGCACCATGTTTCCATGGTGGGAAGTCGATGAGCAGAGAGATGGTGAGGCGCTTGGAAGTGCCTCTCACATGAAGACAAGGTTCCCCGACGGCAGAGTCGGGCTGCTTAGCGATCCCGGAGCCCATGACAATCTGATTGGAGCCGAGACCTTGCAAAAGCTCACCAATCAGGTTGGCCCGCACAGCGAGAGACCGCTGACGCGGCCACTATCAGTAGAAGGAGTTGGAAAAGGGTCTCAGCAGGCGGCAACGGCAGCAAAGGTTCCCCTCTACCTGACGGATGAGGGAGGATCGCAGATACACGGCAACTTCACGGCACCGGTTGTCCCCAATTCGGCACTACCACCACTGTTGGGTTTGAAGAGCCTCATGAACAAGGCGGCGATCATGGATACAGGCACGAAACGCCTGATACTTCCCGGGCCCGGCGGAGTTGTTATGCAAGCGTCTCCAGGTACAATTGTGCTGCCGCTCACGCTGTCTGAGAGCGGCCACCTGATCCTGGAGGTGGACACATGGATGCAGTTTGCTGAGCACCGAGGCGATCCTGGACCCGAAGCATCGCTCAACTTCCCCATAGAGTGTCGGAAGCTGCAGGAGGTGGCAACCGGGAGTGCTGTCGCCGGAGCGCGAGCCGCGGTGGAGGAGCGCCCGCCCTCGCGTTTCGGCGAACGCATCACCCTGGTGAATGAGAGGAGGAGTGGATCTCGCTCGCGCAGTGCGGAGCGGGAGCCGGCAACGGAGGAGTGATCGGCCGCCGATTCGCGGCCGAGGTGCATGCAGAATTCAACATCGCAAGGCGAGCCTGCAATGAAGCTTCAGAGGCCACCCGCTCCAAGTCACGGGAGCTACGTGGGCAGAGGAGCTGAGGTCCTGGCTTGGATTTTGTGCGACCGTTTAGGTCATCGACAGCAAGCACTACACGATTTGGGAGTCAGAACTATGCATCATTACCACGATCTGCACTCTCATGGACACGGATGTGCTATGCAGGACGCGCTCAAGAATCAGAAGCCCGAACTCTTGTGGGTTCACTTGGCGGGACCAGCTGCAGGTTCAGGAAATAAGAGAGACAACGCCAGAACCGAGCTGATGGCCAAGTTGATTCATCAACAGCTCAACGAGGAGCGCTACTGCGTGCTGGAGGCCAACGTTCGCAGCCAAGCATGGCACCTCAAGGCAATCAGTTCAGCCATGGAGCGAATGCATGCCACCACGCATGTGTATTGCAACTACCAAAGCAGGCACTC